AAGAGAGACTATGTTGGATATGTTTTTACTGTAACATACTGTATGTTTTTCTTACATGTCATTAAACACTAATTCAAAATAATTAGAGCTGTTAAAAAAATTCCAGACTACCCTGGCACATGCAAATCTGAAAACGCTGTGACTTTTAAATAACTCAAAGCAGAAACACTTTTCTCTCTATAAACCCTCCCTGCAAGTATGAGAGAGCAATAGGGACAATTCAGACTCAGACACTGGAGACAAGAAAAAGAAACCTTTAGGGAAAAGCACTCCATCACAAACCAGCCCTTTCCTGGGCTTTTTCTGCTCCTGAAATTCTTTCAGGTCAGCTTATATTCTTTTTACCCCCCCTGGAGTAAAATTCGTGCTATCCATAATTCAGCAGGTTTTGTCTGGAGTCATCTGAGGTCTCAGGATTTGTTGCATCACTGTCTCCGGAAATAAATTTGCAGGCATTTGGAGTAGAGATTTTTGTAACAAATGAGGGAACATCCTTATTTTAAAGCAACTCTCCTGCCTCTGGCTGTTCCTCCTGCAGGTGTATCGTGTGGAGTGAGTGGGGAGCAGAGCAAACATGATGTGCCTGATGTTCCTGATGTGCCCCGACTGCCTGGGAACATCTTAATTGGCTGTCACTCCTCTGGTTAAATGCTGGGAGGCAGCCAGCCATGCCCACTGTCAATTCTAGCCTGGGGTAGGTTCACTGTGCTCATGTCACACATTGATTGTGCTCCAGCCCTGGCAGGGCACACGAGATCCATCCTCCTGCGTAATCCAGGGCCGGGAACTTCGACTCCCTCGTTCCATTAAAGGGTTTGTACAAACTTGGGTGACCCCGAGACCTCAGACCTCAGTCTGGGGATGAAAGGGAAGGAAGTCAGTCCTATTCTCACTTTGTCTTTAGCAAAGAGCACATCTTTGTGCACAGGACTTTTAGGAATATCAAGACCCTGAGGAGAACTTCACAGGTGCTGCCCAAGTCATCATATTGCCAAACATCCCTGACATGAGTGAGACATCCCAGATACCAATTAGGGGCTTCAGACAGCTTGTTTTCAGTCCAGACAGCTCAGGAACAGGCTGCACACCATGACTAACTGGGAAACAGGAGGAGAAACTCATGGAACTAGAGAGGAAATTCCTTTCAATCACCGCAGATGCCAAAATGACTTTTTTAGATCCCTTTAAGAGTTTGTACAAACTTGGGCCACCTGGAGACCTCAAAGCTCAGTCTGGGGATGAAAGGGAAGGGATTCACTCACATTCTCACTTTGTCTTCACATCTCTGACAGGGCTTTTAGGAATATCAAGACCCTGAGGAGAACTTTGCAGGTGCTGCCCAAGTCATCATATTGCCAAAGAAACAACCAGACATCCCTGAGTGAGACATCCCAGGGATGCCAATTAGGGGCTGCAGACAGCTTGTTTTCACTCCAGACAGCTCAGGAACAGGTTGCACATCATGACTAACTGGGAAACAGGAGGAGAAATCAATGGAGTCAGAAAGGAAATTCCTTTCAATCACAGTGGACTCCAAAATGACTTTTCTAGTTCCATTAACAGATTTGTACAAACTCATCTGTACATGGGTGACCTTGAGACCTCAAAACTCAGTCTGAGGATGAAAGGGAAGGGATTCACTCACATTCTCACTTTGTCTTCACATCACTGACAGGGCCTTTAGGAATATCAAGTCCCTGAGGAGAACTTTGCAGGTGCTGCCCAAGTCATCATATTGCCAAAGAAACAACCAGACATCCCTGAGTGAGACATCCCAGGGATGCCAATTAGGGGCTGCAGACAGCTTGTTTTCAGTCCAGACAGCTCAGGAACAGGCTGCACACCATGACTAGCTGGGAAACAGGAGGAGAAGCTTCTGGAACCAGAGAGGAAATTCCTTTCAATCATAGTGGGCCCCAAAATGACTTTTCTAAGATACCACCATAGCTTCATCATATTTGGCTACTCACTGCATGTCCTGTAGTAATTCTCATTCCACAAGGTATTCTGAAGGGTAGAGGATGTTTCTCTGAATATCTAATTTTTCCTCTTGGGCAAATACACCAGGATGAACATTTGATACCTTCCTGGACTGCTTAATATTTGCTCTCCTGCCTTTCTTGCTGTGCTTTAGCTATTTGCAGGTGATGGCCTCATTTGGGTTAAAAATGATCCCTAGGGCATGGGGAGCATGAGAACAACAGGGAAAGAAAGGAACAACAGGAAGAGAATAAAAGTCACAGGGAAAATTATTTGGTTCCTGGTTTTGTTTACATGCTCAGCTTTGGAGTATTCTGGGGTGATATGAGGCAAACTGCCTAACTGAGGCTACAAAGAAATTTCAAAATGCATATGGATTTTAAGGCATTATGAAGGAATTCTTGGACAGTTCCCTGGGGCTCGGTGTAATTATGGTGGCTTTCTATTAATTCTGTGCAAGTGTTGTGAAATAATAACTCGGGGCAAAGGCTGGTCTTATTTGGTATTAATTTCTGCTTCTGTATCAGCTCTAAGGGACTATCCTGAAAAATTTAGCTCAATGTTCCTTTCTAGTTTGCACTTTAACTGTTGTATAAAAATGATTCTCCCTCTCACTTTTATTTTTTTTAGTAACTTCCAAGGAAAACAGATCCCTCTAGTAAAGGGCTCTGTCACGATACCTCTTTCCATCACCATAAAGCTCCTACAGAAATAGGACAGAAAATATGAATACTATTGTTTCCTTACTGATGTGACAGATCCTCTGAGAATGGAAATGCAAAATGTGACAAAAATACAGAGTTTTATCCCTGCTGGCAAAAAAAAAACAAACCAGACTTTGAACAACCTCTGCATCAAGTGTTCTCTCAGTTTTCCTCTTAGTGTGACGTGAACCTCAGGTGTGTGTGTGTGGGTTTTCTTGCTGCAGAAACATCCAGAAAATCTTTATGGAGGAGAAAGGGCAGAGAGCAGTGGTTGGGAACTTCATCAGAGCATTTTGAGAGAGAGAAAAAGATAGAGCAGTGCAGGGAAGGTGATTGATTTTTTTTTTTTCTGGAGCTGTGCAGAGATTTGAACAGAGGGAAGAGACAAACACAGCCCTTGGGTGAAACAGAACAGCAAATAATAATTCTGTTATATTGGTACCATGACCAAGCCATTTCTTGAGGGCTTTGAAACCCTCTAAGGCCTTGAATGCCCTTCTTTATTTACTCAGTTCCAAGAAAAAGGCCCTGCAGTCCAAACCAGATGCTCACTCTATTCCAGCTTGTTGCTTTCCCATTCCATTTATCTCATTTTAGTCTGCATTACCTTTAAAATGGGCACTGTGTTACACTCACTGAGAATTTCCTTTCCACCTTGCAAGGCTGTTTGTGATTCATGAAAAAATATTTCAAAATGCCACGAAATCATCTGAAAATTTCATAAAAGGCTTTCATGAAGTATGAACAACTCCTCACACAAGGCAGCAATAAACCCTTTTAAGCAGCATTCTGTCTTTAAAAAGTCAGATAAAAGCAACTGGCAAGACAAACAGGCATCCTAAAGGAACTGCATTTTTGGGCTTGTGTTCCCAATCAGTTATAAAGTGTTGAGGAGGTCACTGCTCAAACACTTCAGAGCATTCAGGGTCTGCTTGTTTTGCCCTAACACGTTTTTTTCCTTCACCTTGTTTCAGGAAGTTTGGGAAAAGTCCAGCAAGTACCTAATGCACAGGGGAGATAGGATTTATCTTCTTCCCCCTGGGATAACAGGCTCCTCCTTTGTTCCATCCCTCTCCCATAATTATCCAACATGCAGGAACACCAGCTGAGGTCACAGAATGCTTCCAAGGGTGACATTGTACGTCCACAGACATTACTGGAGCAAAATTACCATCCTTACAGCACAGAGTTTCTCTGGGATTTGGGATCTTTTTCCAGGGAACCTTCCACTAGCCCAGGTTGCTCCAAGTTTATCCAACCTGGCCTTGGACACTTGCAGGGATCCAGGGGCAGCCACAGCTTCTCTGGGCAACCTGGGCCAGGGCCTCCCCACCCTCACAGCCAAGAATTTCTTCTCAATATCCAATATAACTCTACAGGGAATGATTTCAAAGGAAATAAAGTGATTTGGAAGAGTAAAAAGGCAGGGACGTGCCGCCCTATGAACAGACCTTCTGAACACAAACAGAAAAAAAACCCCTGCAAACAACTTTCTCATATAAATGAGTCATGAATATCCATGTTTCTGTATTTCTACAGGCTCTGGTTAGGCGGAGTAAGAGATTTCTCCCTTTTGAAGTCAGTTTTTTAAGCTTGCAGAGTCTGTGGAGCTACATCAGTTTTTGGAAAGAGAGAGTGGTTTGCCAGCATTTCATCCTGAATTGTCTCCCAGTTTCACCCACAAATAGATTATCCAGTCTGAACCTCTCAGCTACAAGTCCTTACAGGCACCACTCCATAATCTAGATCCTATATTATGGCAAAAGCAGAAAATGCCTCTTGTTGGTCACATATCTAAGACAGCACACACACACCTCTTACAAACCAGAGAAATCAAGGAAAAGCTTCCCAGATACATCTCTGAGCATTACTCCTGTTGGATGAGTCTTGCACGGGCAACAATCCTGGATAATTGCACTGCATTTAGTGTGACCTCTTGTGAGCTTGCGAAGGAACACATGCACTGACCTGAATCGAGTAAATTAGGCACTTATTAAACCCAAAATAGTTAAATTCTGCTTAAATAAAGCTCAGACTCACCAAGTCAAACCTGCAGCAGCCTCTTTGCTGGATTTAAATCCAAATACGGGTGATTCAAGCAGTGCATGAAGAAAATAGCAGCCCTTGTTCTGGGGATTCCTATTTTCTTTTGGGTATTTTTTTTAAGGAGTGGGATGATTTATGATGAATTAAGAGTGAAGACAGGGCTGAATGAGATCCCTGGATGCAAGCACTGCTTGTCTGGTTTTGTGGCATCATGTGAGGGAGGGGGACAGATGGAAAAAGAAAGTGGTTGAACTTCCTATTTGTACTCACTCATCGACTCTGTCAATTTGGCCATCTCTGTTTCTCTTTTGGGCTTCTCCTGGGGGAACAGACAAAATGAAAAACAAACATATATATATGTATATATATATAAAATACTAATACACTTGAGTGCAAGTGGCAATGTGAGGGGAGGACATGACTCCATTACATATTTTGATTTTATCTAGGGGTTGTGCTTCACTCCTGCACCTTTTTTTCTTGTAATTCCTCAATTTTGACAACTATGAAGCGTGAAACTTGTATTTATTTCTGTGTCTATGTGTGTATCTTGCTGGAGTAATCGAAATCATTCAATCAAAGTGATAATGGAGGAGGAAATCCTGCTCTGTTTCTCACCCTCTGTTAAAATTTGCAAGTGTGTTAGGCCTTCCTGACAAAAGATAAACCCACAAAACAGTTTGGCTGCAGGAAAGAAAGCACTTATTTAGAAATAAATAGATTTCATACAGGAGCTGGAGTGTGTGTGTGGTACTGGGCTGACACTGAGCTGAACTGAGCTGAAGTGCTGCTTCATTTATTTGAGACACGAGGGACTCCCAGTCAAACCTGCTGGGTTTTCTCACTTATATTTCGCAATTTTTTTTCCATATGAATTTCTTTTTCCACCTCAGACACTTGTTGTAGCTGTTGTAACCAGGACAGAAGGCTTGGTCGAACAAGAACCCTTGAATTTGGTGAAAATCCAACGCCCAAAATGTGCCTCAGCCAGAGTCCCAGCTCTCCACCCCTCCACCTGTGTCAGGGCTACGAGAGTGGGTCCCTTTTCCCCCAAAACCTCAGGAGGAGAGAGAATTTCCACCAAAGTATGACTTTAATGGGCAGCAACCACACAGAAGTGCCCTCTGTCCATGTCAGCTCTGGGACAAGGTGCAGGTTTCTGGGCAGGGTGACCTGCAGTGGCCTCTGGAATGTCTGGGGACAGGATCCAGTGTGGTGGCTTCTCTCTTTGGCTGAGTCTATGCTAAAAACCAGCACTGGGGAAAGCCACAGGCTGAGATGGTGTGAGAATGGTCCCTGCCAGGTGTGATTAGACAGGATAGATGTGATTTTCCAGCGCTGGTTGCCTCTGACACGAGCAGATCCTGCTGCAGAGGTGCCAGGTTGTCTCAAATGCTACTCCTGCTTTTTGTAAGAGAGTAGGATCATCTCATGACTTGAGAGGAGGTGAACTCTGTCCACATCTATCTCAGAATCATGGAATCATCTGGGTTGGGAAAGATCTCCCAGCCCAGAGAGTCCACCCTGTGCCCAATGCCCACCTTGTCCCCCACCCCAGAGCACTGAGTGCCTCATCCAGTCCTTCCTCGGGCACCTCCAGGGCTGGGGTCTCCAAACCTCCCTGGGCAGCCCCTTCCAAGGCCTGAACACCCTTTCCAGCAACAAATTCCTCCTCCTGGGCAACCTGAGCCTCCCCTGGCACAACCTGAGGCCGTTTCCTCTCCTCCTGTCCCTTGTTCCCTGGCAGCAGAGCCCGACCCCCCCCGGCTCCCCCCTCCTGTCAGGGGGTTGCAGAGCCAGAAGGTCCCCCCTGAGCCTCCTTTGCTCCAGGCTGAGCCCCCCCTCAGCCACTCCTCATAGGACTGACTCCTCAGTAAGTATCTTATCCCAGTATTGGCTTCCATCCGGTGCAAAAACCCGAAGAATATTTTCCATACCAAATAAACCACTACCTGCACTTCAGAAATCCAGACTTCTATTAAAAAACCCCACTCACATTTCACAGTAATGGGAAACCTTGGAATTCATGAAACAAACAGATAAAGCTTCACAACTGTATTCATACACCCCTTAGAGCGTTTAGTATTAAAAGAAAGGTTTAAGGTTGTGTCTTGAATCTGGGTGAGGTTAATGCCCTAAGCCACGCTGACAATATCCAGCATCAGATTCCTGCACTGCTATGAAAGGAAAAAAAGGAAGGAAGGAAGGAAGAAAGAAGTAGCAAGAGAATGTCAGTTTAAAAAAATAATTAAAAAAAAGGGTCCTGTATGGCAATTTTTTGCATGGCATTAATTATCAAAGGAAAGCACAGCACTCTGAAAATCATCAGGAATTTGTGTCCATGTTGCTTTATAAATGTGACCTCAAAACACCTCCTTCTGCTACAGAACTTACAGTTTATCAGGGATGAACTGTTGGGAAAGATCAGTTTGAGCCCTGGAGGTGGAAGGTTGGATTTCTTAGACTAATAAAAAGTTCTGATTTTAAACACTAATGCTTTGGTCTCGCATATTATTAAATACTTTTTTACTAATGATGATATACAGGAGACCAGAATGGCCTTTCAAAGTGAAAGTATTAAATACAATACATAAGAAGAAGGTTAAAAGTTTTTGAGCTTGGTTTACTATTCTTAAAAGAAATGACCAGGACTACTGAAGATAAAAGTGTGAATCTTCTTCTCAATAGGATGGAGTAAAAAATTCCATCCCATTTTCCAGGCATTTTATTGAAAAATTTAATCTTTTGTGCTGTTATCAATGAACTTTAGACTCTGTATGAAATTTTTCTCACAAGTTTTGTACTTTTCCCTTTCTCTAATGATCACATGCACACACCCTGTGAAGTTCTAGAAACTAAGAAAATTTTTCCACTCATCTGTTTTATCAAAATGGGATATTTTAGGAAAGTTTGAACACCTCTAAGAAATTTGCTTTTTGATGGCAGATAAAGAAGGAATCCCATCCTGTCTGACAGAATGAGTTCTAGCAGATTAACTTGGGGGAAAATAAAGCATTAGAACACACTTTTTTTCCTGACTTTAGCAGGTGTGTGTCTGAAAGCAGACTGACAGCAGAATAAGATTTGCTGCTTTAAAAAAAAACAACCCCAAACCAAAACCAAACCACAAAACAAAGCAAGGAAAGAAGCAAACAACAAAACAAAGCAAGAAAAAAGCAAACACAGTGTTTCATTTCAGGACAGAAGTTGCCTTTAAGGGCAGACTGTGGTTGTATTCCCTCTTGGGATTGCTGGGTAAACAAGAATTGCCAGCTCAGAAAGGCAGGACTGATATTTCATCTCTCTTAACACAGTGAAGTTCATATTTTTGGGTTTTTTTGAAGAATAGAGTGATTTCTGCAGAGGTTTGAATCCGTGGGCTGTTTCTGACAGTGCCTCTTCTATGGCAAAGAACCCAAACCTTCCACAACCTCAGAGGAAAAGAAGAAACTTTGCTACCTTTGCCCACCTGTGTGAGATGTTATTGGCTTCCTGAATGCATAAAAAGCAAGAAATTCTGCTCCTCATACTTTAAATTATATGTACATAAAGAGCAAACAATGGATGACAGCGTGATGCAAGATGAAATGTAAATTGTTATGTGAAGCATAACTTCAACCAGTAAAAAGGGGTATTTAAAATGCTACTTTATAATGTTTTGTACTGTTTGTGAGCTCTTTCATCAGCTGAGGATGTAAAACAGAAGCTGTGAACTCTCCTTTTCTAATGGAGTTGGGGTTTTGGGCTTTTTTAAAAAAATATTTCCTTTATATCAGACAAATGAGCAGTTGCCCAGTCCTACAATATCTTGAGACCTGGTGTCCTGTCTCAGACTGGATTTAACCTCAAATTATTATGATGCTGTTGCAACATTCATGGGTTTAAAGTGATGATAAAAGTATGGCCTCCAAATCACTCTTTTACTTGTCAGCCAAAGAAAATCAGGGACTTTTGGGTGAAGCTCTCCTGACCTGACTTCCCACGCTGCACAGTCTGCCATGGCTCTGTCAGAGGGGCACGAGAAGTGCCAACAAGGTACAGTGCAGACTTAACATTTTCAGTGTCATGCAGGAGCAGAGAGTAAGGATACATGGAATTCCAGATGGGAATCAAAGGATTGAGTGCCTATGATATTTGTCTTGTAAGGAAAAATTCTTGGGCAAGACAGTGCATGAACTCCTTGGAATTTTTCTGGTGGAAGGACATGGGAACATCCCGTAAGTCCCTCTTCAGTGGCTGTTGGTTTCAGCTGGCACTGATTAATGAGATCATTGTCTTTGTTTTCAGAGAATCACAGGATGGGTCAGGTTGGAAGGGACCACAGTGGGTCCTCTGGTCCCACCTCCCTGCTCCAGCAGGGTCATCCCAGAGCACACAGCACAGGGTTGTGTCCAGATGGGTCTGGAGTATCCCCAGTGAGGAGACTCCACACCCTCTCTGGTCTCTGTTTAGTGCTGGGTCACTGAACAGCAAAGAAGTTCTTCCTCATGTCCAGGGGAACTTCCTGGGCATCAGTTCCTGCCCGTTCCTCTTGTGCCATTGCTGGGCCCCCCCGAGCAGAGCCTGGTCCATCCTCTGCCCCCTCCCTGCAGCCCCTACAGACCTGGGGGAGGTCCCCTCTCAGGGTCTGCTCTGGAGGCTGAACAGCCCCAGCTCCCTCAGCCTTTCCTGCTCCCAGAGATGCTCCATCCCTTCAGGATCTCCGCAGGAGAATCATCTTCCAGCAGCTCCATGTCCCTGCTCTGCTGAGGAGCCCGAGCTGGACCCAGCCCTGCAGATGTGCCTCCCAGGGCTGGGCAGAGGAGCAGGATCCCCTTCCTGACCTGCTGGGAACTCTCCTCCTGATGCCCTCCGGGATCCCATTTGGCTCCCAGGACACACTGCTGGCTCAGGGACAGTTCTTTGTCTGCCAGGACCCCCAGGTCCTTCTCCAGCAGGTCTTTCCTCAGCCTGTGCTAGTGCCTGGGGTTATTCTTCTTGTATTTGCCTTCCTTGAACTTCACATAATTCTTCTCTGCCCATCTCTCCAACTTTCTGAGGTCCTTCTGAAGGGCTGCACAGCCCCTGGATAGTTTTTCCTATTTACTTCATGGCTGAAACATCTCTTGAACTTTTATCAGTTCACAAGTGTAGAAGTGCACCAGCATACTGGGAATTTGTTGAAGTAATCTCCAACTGGCAAAAACTTTTAATGATATTAAGTCATCTGCTTGGATCAGAACTCAAATCCATTACAGCCATTACACACAATTTTTGTGAAGGTTTGTTACTTTTGACAGTAATTCAATAGCAAATCCCCAGTAATTTCATTGGTATTTCC